AGTGTTACAAAGTACCAAACCCATTTAATAATGTTTCAAGAAACTTTAAAAGATCCATGCTTTAATCCACAAAGTTCATTTTTGGAAAATGTACCCTAAGAAAATAATTCATCAATTACATTAATAATTAGAGTACATGAAAAATGGTATGTATAGGAAAAGTTTTGTGAATAATGATAGTATTAGCAACAGTACTTATAATGGCAACATATATTAACACACACGCACGCAACATAAAGGAATGGATAAGTAAATTACTAGATGACAGTTTTCAAACATTTTAGCAGTGAAACTCTTTCTTCAAATAAAATCTTTTACAGAACCATAATATATAAAATGGAAGCAGAATTGATTAAAGCAAGGGGAAGAGCCAGACTTAGACTTTGCCCTACGCCTATTCTGCCCTTCCACCTGGCACACTCCTGCAGCTTCCTCAGAGCTCTGGGGAACCCAAGATAAACACAACTAGACTAGCTGGAATATCAGGCAGGTATTAAAAATCTTGTTTGTGATGACTACATAACAATGTGGAGACATATTTCTGTGATTCTGTCATGAAAAAAATGACTAAATGTTTTTATACACACACATAATTTACTACTAAATGAACTATGTAAAGCAAAAATCATACAGATATAGTAAAAAGTATTAACAGTAGCTAGCTTTGAGTGTTGAATCTTCTACTTTTCTATATATTCCCCATTTCCTTAAAAATCATGTAATCACTTTGTTTTTGTAATCACTTTTATAACAGGAAAAAAATAGTTTGGACAGAGATCCCACTGAGTGACCCATACTAAATAACTTCTCCATCAAAGTTGGGTTGGGTCAACTGTGAGGTGTCAATTTCATGCTGTATGAATTATACAGAGATAAGAAACTGGCACTAAATTTGTACAAGAATAAATTATAAAGCCATCACAAATTTACCAAATCCCTCTTCCATTCTGAAAGATATCAACACATTCCGCAACCTCCATTCCTCCTCTTAGTGTTTTTAGTTGGAGTTGCTATATAAGCTTATAGTCAATTAAATATATACAGCATTATTCACCCTAGCAACTGCTTAACAACCTTTAGCAACTGTAACTCTGTAAATAGCAACTATACAAAAAGTCTTTCATGAAAGAACTATTGGAATGGGGTAGTTCTCCTTCAATGGTTCCCTTAGAACAAAAAGTTAAAGTTGTTGCCTGAAAACATGTAATAGGTTCAGAGATTTTTCTGTGAAGCAGTTTGGTTATTTTGAATTTTACAACTGTCAGACGGTAGTACAATTTAAAGTAGAGCACACACACAGCAAAATGCAAACCTCGGATATACGCAACACACGTCAGTGACTGGAGCCTCAGGTACTTCCTTTCCTTTATGTGCTTTCCTTGGAACGTGGCATTGTATTTTTGTTTGCTCAAAGACAGGTATCAGGCCGGGCGTGGTGGCTCACGCCTGTAATCCTAGCTCTCCGGGAGGCCGAGGCGGGCAGATTGTTTTAGCTCAGGAGTTCGAAACCAGCCTGAGCAAGAGCGAGACCCCGTCTCTACTAAAA